GTTCGTCTATAGTGCGGCCACACATTTCTACAGTCTCGCTCACACGAGGGGCCCAGCGATATCTCTCTCTTTTATGAGAGGTACAAATCCCGTCTTGACTATCTACAATCCAGCACATGATTCGTTTCGTACCTGATACACGCCTTTATAGTCCTCCTGTTACGCAGAACATTTGACGTAATCAAAGTACGCAACTCCTCATGTTGGATTCCGTAGATATCTCAGGTCTTAGGATCCAATCATGGAACCGCCATATGAGATTCAAGTCATGACGCTAGTCCATGTGACAATCTCATGCGGGTCAATCCAGTATTCCGTTCTCCAACGAATACCTATGATTGTGATCGTATCCAATACCTATGATCATCTATATGATCATCAATCACATATCATACTAGTCTTATTATGTCATCATTCCCATAATGACATCTTCTGGACTGCGATATTTAAAATTGCGACAACTTGTACATGGACATAACATTTTTCCACGTTCTTGGCACAACGGCTGCATAGAAGCAAAATTCATAAATTGTTCTAAACCGTTAATGAATTCTTGCGTTACCTCTTTTGTAATCTAATCAACTCTTTCGTATATCCACTGCCGGGATGAACGGATATTTGGATTTGTTGAAGAAGCCATTTTTAGGAGAATTTTTGGTGAAAGAATAGTAGAAGAATGATTTAGAGAGTGTTTTGGGCGAAAAATGGCCGGATGGTTTAAATAGACAAATATTCCAACGGATGTCCGTTGAAAATCCGTTGAAAATAACGTTACCGTTAAACTTTCCAACGGATATTCGTTGGAATATTTGGAACGTTATAACGTTCGAATATTTCCAACGGATATCTGTTGGAATACTTACCGCGTTTCATAACGTTCGGATAATTCCAACGGCATGCCGTTGGAAATTGTCGAACGTTATTTCCAACGGCTGTCCGTTGGAATATGCGTGGAAAATTTCCAACTCAGATATCCGTTGAGATGCCGTTGGAAATCCGTTAGAAACGCGTTGGAATTATTTCAACGGATGACCGTTGGAAATCCGTTGGAAAAATTACAACGGATTCATCCGTTGGAAAAATCTGTTGGAATTTAGCATTTTTTTTTGTAGTGTTTCATACCTGATACACGCCTTTATAGTCCTCCTGTTACGCAGGACGTTTGACGTATTCAAAGTACGCAACTCCTCATGTTGGATTCCGTAGATATCTCAGATCTAAGGATCCAATCATGGAACCGACATATGAGATTCAAGTCATGACGCTTAGTCCATGTGACAATCTCATGCGGGTCAATCCAGTATTCCGTTCTCCAACAAATACCTATGATCGTGATCGTATCCAATACCTATGATCATCTATATGATCATCAATCACACATCATACTAGTCTTAGCATATCATTATTTCCATAATGATACATGACTAGGGAGTTTAGTATTGTTCATGACAATACATGGATTTCATAACATATTAAAGCATGCACAATACGTAATGAATCAAACACTCACCCATAAACTATAGAAAGTGTCAATACATCAAATGCATCACAAGAAAGCTCATACAACAGTTCATCATAGAGCATTAAAACCAACAATCTCCCACTTGCTCTAATCATGGACTGCTAAACATCTAATGCCCATATCCCTAACATGATCCTCATGCTTCGACGAAGGGAGATGCTTCATCAACGGATCGGCAATGTTGTTATCTGTCGACACTCTGCAAATGTGCACGTCTCCTCTGTCTATGATCTCCCTGATAAGGTGAAACCGTCTGAGTATGTGTTTGGATCGTTGATGGGATCTGGGTTCTTTCCCTTGTGCGATCGCTCCATTGTTGTCACAATACAACAATGGGGCTATCAGCACTAGGAATGACACCTAAGTCACCAACAAACTTTCTGATCCAAACAACTTCCTTTGCTGCGTCCGACGCTGCAATATACTCAGCTTCTGTAGTAGAATCTGCAACGGTCGCCTGCATGGAACTTTTCCAGCTAACATCGCCTCCGTTTAAGCAGAAAACATAGCCAGATTGCGATCTGTAGTCATCTGGGTCTGATTGAAAACTAGCATCGGTGTAACCCTTTACAGCAAGCTCGTATTCTGACCCACCGTATACCAAGAACACATCCTTAGTTCTTCTCAAGTACTTCAGGATGTTCTTGACGACGATCCAGTGTGACTCACCTGGATCTGACTGGTATCTACTCGTAATGCTTAACGCATATGATACATCCGGTCGAGTACAAAGCATGGCATATTTGATCGATCCAATTGCCGAAGCATATGGAATACGATCCATGCGTTCTCGCTCATCAGGTGTCGTAGGACACTGACTCTTGCAGAGAACTGTGCCACTCCTCATCGGTAAGGTTCCTTTCTTGAAATTTTGCATCTTGAACCGCTTCAAGACCTTATCGATGTATGTACTCTAACACAATCCTAGACGCCGCCTCGATCTATCTCTCTAGATCTTAATGCCTAAAATATAGGCCACTTCTCCTAGGTCCTTCATAGAAAACTGCGTTTCTAGCCAAGACTTTACGTCTTGCAAGGTAGGAACGTCATTCCCTATTAGGAGAATGTCATCCACGTACAACACTAGAAATACAACTGTGCTCCCACTAACCTTCTTGTAAACACATGGCTCGTCTTTGTTCTGTGAGAAACCAAACCTTTTGATTATCTCATCAAAACGAAGGTTCCAGCTCCTTGAAACCTGCTTCAGTCCATAAATGGACCTCTGAAGCTTGCACACCTTGTTGGTTTAGTGCTCTATGATGTACTGTTTGCGAGCTTTCTTTTGATACATTTGATGTATTGATACTTTCTATAGTTTTATGAAAGTGTTTGATTCATTACATGTTGTGCATACTAGATATGTTGTGAAATCCATGTATTGTTATGAACTATACTAAACTCCCTAGTCATGTATCATTGTGGGAATAATGATATACTAAGACTAGTATGATGTGTGATTGATGATCATATAGACGATCATAGGTATTGGATACGATCACAGTCATAGGTAGTTGTTGGAGAACGGAATACTGGATTGACCCGCATGAGATTGTGATAACATGTATTTTGGTGATATTTTGGTATAGGATGTCTAGTACATTTTACTCGGTTTTGCATATTTATAGGCATTCTAGAACACATTTGGTCTCGATATTGCTTGGTTATTTTCTTTGGTGTCAAAACAGGTATTCATGCATAAAAGAGAGCAAAAGGAGTGGAAAACATGGACTACGGAACATCACAGACGAAACGGGAACATTTGGAGTTGTTTCGGAGAAAAAACATGAAGCCTAAAAAGTCAGATCTTGCAAGTCCAATAACTTCCACTCTATAAGTCCAAATCGCGTGTTCTCTACCTCATTGGAAAGCTCTCTTCAATATCTACGCATAGACACCAAGATCGCACAAATCCGACATTGTAGCAGAAAGTTATGAGCAAATCTGTCAAACATGTTCGAGTTGAAGAATCGACACGGACCGTGTTGCATTCGACACGGCCGTGTTGTGTCCGTGCTGAAAAAAATGAAGTTTTGCTCAGAGAATTGACACGGACCGTGTTGTCATTCGACACGGCCGTGTTGATTCAAACTCGGCCGTGTTCAGCCCAAGTCTAAAGTGCAGATGTTTAATAGAGAATTGACACGGGCCGTGTTGCATTCGACACGGCCGTGTTGCGTTACGGGAAAACTTCCTATTTTGCATCCGGACTTCCGTTTTCAGCAAAGGAAGAAGCCCAGCTGCCAAGCAAATAAATAGGAGACGTCTTGGGCTTCAGAAATCATCGAGAGTTCACAGGGGAAGCCAGAGAACTCGAGAGAGAATCAAGACGGAGTTTTCCGGGAGCAGAGATTGAAGAATCGTCGTCGAGAGATCGCTGCGAGTCTTCTTTATCTGTTTCTATGTTTCTTCTTATTGATTTGAACTCGTTCGTTGTTATGGGTTGTGAGTAGTCGTTTCACTGTAGCTAGGGATTTAACCTTGTAGGGATTTGTTGGGTTTTTATTTTCCGAGACTACGTTATCGATACTCGGCGGTTTAATTGAATTGAGTTTATTGCTTTTGATCTTCTTGACCAGTTGATTGATTGATTATAGATTCTGATTTGCAACGAGAGTTGAGATTAGATTCGGAACGATTTCATTGAATGAATTGATTAAGACTATTGAGAGATAGGTTAATCGGTTTAGGAACTGTGATAGTGATCGTTAATGCATTTGATATTTTAATCTATTAGGTTGAGAGATCGATAGGTTAAATTATTGGATAGTGGATTTAGGACTTGAGAGAGCCAAATCTGATATTAGAACTTGAGATCCCCGATTAGAGTTCGATATTCGTAGATTCTCCATCCTTAGAAACAATCCCTACTCATTAAGGTTATCCCGAAGCTACGGTGGATTATCTATCTGATTTTACTTAGTTAGTTTATTACTTTATTTTCGATATTCACATACTTCATTCCATATTTCCTGATCTAATTCTTGGTCGAGTCTTGTTCCTAGAGTTAACTATTCCCTGTGTTCGACCCTGGTACTACAGTTGACCCGTATCCTTGGTTCTACTTTCTGGTGTGTAGGTTTCCCGGTGTATGAAAAGAAGTTCTGGGTCTGATAACCTAGTACCTCTTGATCGTGAAATTGAGAAGTCTGTTAAGCGCAATCGAAAGAAGAAACGACAACAAAGAAAGATGGAGGAACGTGCTATAGTTGCTGAGAACAACAATGACCCTTATGGGGCATACCTTCAGCCCAAGTACATTCAGCAACTCTCATGCATTCGCCGGCCTGATATCGACCGTAACAATTTTGAGTTTCAACCGGCATTCATCAATATGTTGAGCTCATCGGCTTTCAGAGGTAAACCTAACGAAGACCCGATCCCTCACTTGACTCGATTCAAGCTACTATGCCAGTCAGTGAGGACAGTCCGCGGAGTTACCGATGAGTCTCTCATGCTCATAGCCTTTCCATTCTCCTTAATGGATACTGCTCTGGAATGGCTCTACACACTACCTCCAGATTCCATATGCTCATGGGAACAGATGCAAGAAAAGTTCATGCAGCGGTTCTTCCCCGCTAGCAAGACCCAGCTCGCGAAACAACAAATTAACTCATTTTTGCAGGAACCTGATGAATCCTTACGTGAAGCTTGGGATCGCTTTCAAGGATACCAAAGAACATGTCCTCACCATGGATGGGATAAAAGGTACCTTATTTCCACTTTCTTGCAGGGATTAAAGGAGGACACTCAGGTTCTTATTCGAGTAGCATGTGGAGGAAGCCTCAACGAAAAGTCATTCGACTTCATAGAGCAACAGATCAACAAGATGGCCAACGAGTGTGCTCCCTCTCACGAGTTTATCAGAAACGTTAGCCTCAAAGACAGTCATGCAGGTAAGGAAAGTCTATCTGAAATTCAGGCATTACGTGCAGAATTGGCAAAACTTAAAATGCAGGTTGAGAATGCCCATCAGATCTCAGACTTAGACACATCAGCCAACGGGTATAAGATCGAAGACGCCTACTATGTAGATAACAACCTGTACTCGAACGTGTCCAATTCGGGGTGGAAGAATCATCCAAACTTCTCGTACAAGAATTCTTCCGACGTCTTGAATACTCCCCTCGGAAATTTTGGTGGTCCGGCTAATCCGGGTCTTTCTCAAGGATATCAACCTCGACCTCGAGCTCCCCCGCAACATCAAAATCAGGCCGTTCAACACTACTTAGCGCCTTTTCAATCTCAGCAGAATTAC